AACTGGAGTGGAGACAGATCTGGGAAGTATAGAGTTAGATGAAGCCAACACTTCTCTGATCTGCCGTCTGCACTGCAGTTACCTGAAGTACCGTACGGAGCCTTTTTTTCCCACCGCCGTTCGGTACTTTCCTTTCGAACTGGAGTCTTTGGCAGGGACGCATCCCGGTTTGGATGTCTTACCTTGTTGCACGGAGCGATGGGTGCATGGAGTTTCTCCCTCATATGTTCGGATGTCTTGTCTTGTTGCGCGAAGCAATGGGTGCATGGAGTTTCTCCCTCGTATGTATCTCTTGTGCCATGCTTGGGGACTATGGTCATCACCCGAATAAAACGCCCGGTCACTATAGCTGCACTTGGTGCAACTTTCAGTGCAGATACAGGGCGTTCTATTCGGGTGAAGACGGTAGGTGTGGTGGATGCACGGAGGTGCATAAGGTTGTCCCTCATGTGTAATCGGGTGTGCCATGCCTGGGGGCTAGGAGGTGTGGTGGATGATGGACAGAGGTTCCATGGCTTGTTCCCTGCAACATGCAACCAGAGGGACGGCGTTGTGGCGTTGAAGGTCACAGGTTTGGGTGGTTTTAACGTCTTTTACGCTTACGTCATGGTTAGGCTGCAATAAGGTGGCTCTCTGATGTATAATGTATAGTCTCCTGTGTGCACGCACGTGTGTGTGTGTGAGTGTGTGTGTGTGTGTGTGTGTGTGTGTGTGTGTGTGTGGATATTACTCATCTCCATGGTAGGGTATCATCATTTGGGTTGTTCCCAATTTCGTAGGAATAACATTTGATCATCGCTTATCATGCACATACTCTTATGTCACACAAGCAATGATACCCTACTCTGTGGTCAGTGTTTTCTAAGGGCAGCCAGCATCTGAATGGTAAAATGTGATTCAGGTTGTGCAACACCTTGTTGGTCACCCCTTTGCTTGTCCTTTGAATGGAAATGAGGTATTCTTTCGTGTACACAGAGCTCACATCATGGAAAATGAGTTTTCTGTTCATGTTCCGATGTTGAGTGCACAAAAAAGCACTGGACTGCATTCCATCAGTGATGGTTAGGGCGGATGGTTTCTATCTCTCGTGGTTTCCATCTCTTGTGATATACGTAGTAAACACCGAAAACAAATCCTGATAGATAGAGTGGAAGAGAGCTTCTCTAATAATGAATTGACAAGGTCTCAAGTTAGTGACCAACCCAGAAAGAACTTCCTTTTTTTGTTTAAGAAAAAAGAAATAACTTCAAATAAGTGAACTATTTTTTGGAACTTTGGGAGAGTCTGTCTGAACCTACAGTGACAGGAAGTAGATTTCCAAAGTTCCAAAAATAGATTGGACAGAAGTAGATCAAGCCAACTGCGGGAAAAATGTACAGGGAAGGTAGTATTCCACATGGGACGCTGGGTCCGGGTCCCACCATGCGTTGCTACGCACAAATAGATTGGAGCATGGTCATAAAAAAAAGAAACTAGGAAAAAAAAAGGGAGG